ATCTGCCGATTATTTCAGTACCTTAGGATACAGTTCATCTGGGCAGGGTGACTTGAATTTATCAAGGGCAGCCAGTACTTTCTTACTATCTCTTTCCTTATCTTGAGTATCAATTCTGTGGTAGTCTTTTGGTTTTTTTTTTTTTTCCTGTTGCTTCAAATGTAAAGGTCATTCTTCTTTCCGAAGAAACAGGAACAGAATCAAATGATTCTATCTTCTCTCAACTGTCAGAGATCATCTTCCCATCCACACCAAGAAGAAGTGTCCTATCACTTATCCCATCCACTATTTCATCCTATTATGGCTAAAAGTAATACCAACTACAACCTTTTTTGTTGTTTTTAGCTACCTTTGCCAGAGTCAACTCATTCTGAACTTTAGCATTCCTGACACTACTGACCTTTACCCAGATACTCTCTATCACGTTTTCCCCACTGGTTCCTGCATTGCCTCACAGAAGTATGCCTTCCTGATGTACATTGCTACTCTTCCTAGCACTGCCCCCCCTCCCCACCACAAACTTTAGCTACTTTGTTCCTTTTGAATAAGGAATACGCATCCAGAATTGTGGTCCAGTCATGGATTTCATCCAAGGCTCAGTGATACCTCTGATGTCTATTTTACCCCATTGAATTTGGACCCATGGTTTTTCTTGTTTGTTATTTCAAGTTTAGACATTTGCATCTAGACATTTGCAGCCATGGGCTTTATTACTGAATCTTTTCCTGAATAGTGTCTTCTCTGAATTTCTGGGTGCCTTGGCTTCTATTCCTCCTTCTTTGTGACTATTCTCTATATAGTATCTAATTTAAGGGAATATGATAATAAAAATAATAATAACAGTTAGCATGTATATAGCACTTTAAGGTTTGCAAGGCACTTAAAAATATTATCTCATTTTATACTCACAACAACCTCGGAGGCAGATGCTGTTATTATCCCCATTTTACAGTTGAGGCAACCGAATCACACAGAGGTTAATGTACTTGCCCAGGGTCACACAACCTGGTCTGAGGCTGGATTTGAACTCAGGTGCTCCTGATTCGAAGCCTCTAACTACTGTGCGCCTTAGTTGCCTCTGTACACATAAGCAGTTGTTTCTCACCCCCATTCTTTTTATTTTAAAGCTCTTTGATTAGATTTGCTGGACACCTGGTTGGATTCACAAGGAGGGAGATAGCAACTCTTACTAGTAAGCTGCTGCAGTAAGCCCGATGAAAACTAACGAGAGACTGAACTCCATTTTTTAAGGAAACAGTGTTGCAAGACAAACATTATTAATTCCCTCAATCCATCATGTTACAACTCAATGTGGAAATGCAAGAATGTGGTATGCATATTGTGCAAACTTGGCCATATTTTATATATCACAGGATTTTGAACTAGAAGGGCCTTCCGAGACAGTTGAGTGAGTGCATTTCCCTCATTTTATAATCGAGGAAACTGAGGCCCAGAGAGTAGAAGCGACTTGTTCAAGATCACAGGGCTGGAAGGGAGCCTAGTTTAAGACTCAAACCCAGGTCTTCTGCCTCCAAATCCAGTCCTCTTTCAACTACAACATGTACACACACTAAGTTCTCAATAAATAGCTATTGCATTGATTCATACAATCTCTTGATTTATAACAGCTGTGCAAACAGGCGTTGCTGCCTGCCAATAACACTGTGTTTCTCAACTCTGCTCCTAGAAGACTGACTGAAGTGTGGTCCTGTGGATGGAGTTCTGAATTTGGAGCCACAGGAGCTGGGTTCAAACCCTGACTCTTCCACTTACTATCCATCAAACAGCATTTATTAAAGGCTTATTGACTACAAGGCCTTGCTAACTGCTGAGGCTACAAAGACAAAAATGAAATAGCCCGTCCTCAAGGAGTGTACAACCTCAATGGAGGAGATAATATCTAAATACACACACACATATAGATATTTTATCTACACACTCACAAAGAGTAGAAGAAGGGAACTAGCAGCTGGGGGACTTACCTGTGCAAACTTGGACAAATCACTTAAGCTCTTTAGGTCTCAGTTTACTCATCTGTAAAATGAGGGGGTTGGAGAAGACCTTTAAGATCCCTTCCAGCTCTAAATCTACTTACAATTCTGCCTTCCCTCTCTTCTCCTCCCCTCCCTCTGGGAGGCAGTGTGGTACAATGGAAAGAGCCCTTGATTTGTAGTCAGGTGACCTGGTTTTGAATTTCAGCTCTATTACTTAGTACCCATGTGATCTTGGATAAGCTGCTTAGGCTCTCGGTGCCTCAGTTTCCTCATTTGTTAAATAAAGGACTTAGATTAGGTCACCACTGTAGGATATTCATGTGAACATTAGTGTGTGTGTTGATGAAGACCACCTGACCAGTTTACACTGGATTAAACCCTTACATGAATAAATCTACTAAATTGATTTTGCTAAATACCCTAAGGAAATTTGTTTCGATACACATGCACTTGAGCCTGATAATAACACCAACAGGGATAGTGGATAGATGTTCAATTTCATTGGTATAGGGAGCACCCAGATGAGATTTCCTCTCCAAATGCACCAGTGGGCACCGTTTTAGCAGTTTCTAGTCTTAGAGAGTTGCCTAGAATATTGAGATGTTAAGTGACTTGCCCAGGGTCATACAACCAGTATGTATCAGTGGCAGGACTTGAATCCAGATCTTCCTAGATCAGCTCTCTGCTACCCCACTCTGCCTCTAATAAACTCCAAAGTCTTTGGAAAGTATCTACTGTGGCTATTCAAGGAACTTCATGTTACACCATTTGGAGAAAGGCAGGATTGTGTGCGATGCCAGACCACATCGGGAGACACGAATTCAAGTTCTAGGTCTATTACAGTTTAGTTGTTGTCCAGACCTTCTTTCTGCTTTAGTTTCCCAGTTTCCTCGTCTAGAAAATGGGCATAACATTTCCATTCCCTTGCTCTCAGGGATATTATAACTGCTGCTTCTGATGTCATCCCTGTGCTGTAGGGATCAAAGAAGACAATGGATACAGGGTGATTCATAATCATCAAGTGCAGAATAAATGAAAACTGTTGTTACATAGCTACCAATGTCAGATAGTGAAAAGAGCCTGGGATCTGAAGTCAGAAGACCTGAGTTCCAAGTCCTGACTCTGCTACTAATTAGTTTTGTGACTTCAGGCAAGTCACTTAACTTTTCTCAGCCTCAATTCCCCCATCTAGAAAAAAAAAGGGGAGAGGGGAATAGTACTTACCTTATAAGATTGTTATAAGGACTAGACAATGGGTGTAAGGTAATTTGTAAAGCACTAGACACTAGCTATTGTTATGGAGTACCTTTATTCTTTTCAATTCCTGACTGCCATTTACTACCTGTGTGACCTCAGGTAAGTGACTTAACCTCTCTGGGCTTCAATTCCTCATCTGTAGAGTGAAGGAGTTGAGCTTGATAGATGACCTTTAAGGTTCCTTCTAACCCTGAACCTATCTATGATCTTGTGCCCCTGTGATTTCATTGGTATAGGGAACTCCCAGATGGGGGAACTCCCTCTGCAAATGCAGGGGGGCATCCTCTGATCTTTGTAAGCTTTGACATTTGCTATGTGCAGATGTTCAGAGTAGACTCTCATGCTAATGCACGTGTGTGTGGAAATCAGGGGGTGAGAGTACAATAAATCTGATACTCAACCTTGAAACCTAAAGTATTCTCACTTGAAAATGAAATCACGCTAGAAAAATGATGTCCTCTGCATTAAAAATAAAGAAGATGTTTCTCTGGGTTCCCTATCCCACCTTCAACTCTTCCGCTCTCTAAAAAAGAAATAGAAGAAAAAGAAAATATATCTAATTCTCTGGGACTCAGTGGGGTGCAGTGGAGTGAGCCTTGGATTTGGAATAGGAGGAAGAGGGTTCAGATTCTGTCTCTGTTATTCACTGCCCAAGACTTTGTAATGAGTCACTTCATGAAAGAAGGTGGATTCCTCCTCTGCAAAATGAAAGGAAGATCTAGATGTGATCCCTGAGGCCTGTTCCAGCTCTAAATGTGTGAGCCTAAGAATGAAAAAGAAATGCAACATTACATGACCAACCAATGCCCATTGAGAGTAAGACAAATGGTATGTGTCCTACTAAACAGGGACTTCACTGTCATTCTACCACTAACACTCCACCTGCAAGAAGCCTTCCCCTGTCCCTCTCTGACACTACCTACCTTTCAGCTACCTTGTATATATCTCATACATACCTGGTTGTTCGTGTATTGTTGCTCTCATTAGAATGTGACCTCCTTGAGGGCAAGGACTTCTTTTGTCTTTCTTTGTATCCTCGTTGCCTAGCACAATGCTTAATGGTTTGTTGATTGACGACTGACTACCCAGTTAGACTTCAGTTTTTCAATTAATCCAAAAGAAGTGTGCTTGCGCCTGTGTGGGTATGTTTGTTTTTGCGTCTGTGTGTGTCACTCACTGCCTGTGGGTCTCTGTGTGCAGCTGTGCCTTTGTCCCAATGTTTACAACTCTTGTCTCTTAGTGCGCGTACCCACGTGTCTGTATGTCCGTGTCTGTGTGTATCTAGGTATTATGGTTACATAATTAGGGTTACTCGGTGTTCTTGTGTCTTCGTCGTGTGTGCCTGTGTACCTATGTCTCTCCCGGTCTCTCTCTCTCTCTCTCTCTCTCTGAATGTCTATGTTCGTGTGCACCAATGACTTTCTCAGTATGCCTGTGCCTTTGTACGTGACTGTCTCTCTGTAGTCTCCCTTGTCTCATTGCATGTGTGTTTCTCTTGGGCTCTGCTGACTCCCAGGGGGACGGCCAGTCTGCAATGCCAGGGCAGGCAGCGCTGCACCGCCTGGGGCTCCCGCAGAAACCCAGCGCCCAGAGCTTCCACATTCTGCGCGCCCAGAATAAGGTGCGGCTCCGGGGGCGGGCCGGGGCTCCCAGAGGCGGGGGGGGGAGGGGCGGGGTCTCCCTCACACCATTGGCTGAAAGTAACCTAACGTCATCGGATGCAGGCTGGACGGGGGACAACCGAAGTTCTGAAGTCCGGGGCGCATAGCGGGCTCGGAGCACTTGCAGTACGCGGGCTCGCTCGGAGTAAGCTGCCGCTGTTCACTGTTCCTAAGCTCAGACCAGCAGACCAGGGCGCGCCCTGCTTTTCTCCTTCCCTCCGCTGCTGGCAGTCCTGCGCACCTTACGGAGGCTGAATGACGGGTCCTTGTCGGGTCAGCAGTTGCTTAGGACTCTCAGGGAGCTGAGCCCCTGCCAAGAAGAGATTGGCAGCGGGGCACTCTCAGTCAAGGCTTGCGGACCTCCAGGGACGGCCCCGCCCCCTGGGGGGGACAGCTTGGGGGGCCATGTCTGCCAACTTGAGCCACAGCTTTCTAAACACCACTACTCAGAAGAGTGAAGCGTGGATGGTGGGCTTGGGCATTGTCATGTCCATCATAGTCCTGGCCACTGTCTTTGGCAACGTGCTGGTCATCACAGCCATCGCCAGGTTTCAGCGTTTGCAGACTGTCACTAACTACTTCATCACATCACTGGCTTGTGCTGACCTGGTTATGGGGCTGGCCGTGGTACCTTTTGGTGCCAGTCACATCCTCATGGAAATGTGGAACTTCGGGAACTTTTGGTGTGAGTTCTGGACCTCCATTGATGTTCTGTGTGTCACAGCCAGCATTGAGACCCTCTGTGTTATTGCTGTGGACCGCTACTTCGCCATCACAGCACCCTTTCGGTACCAGAGTCTGCTTACCAAGGGCAAGGCCAGGGTGGTCATCCTAGTGGTCTGGGTGGTATCGGCCCTCACCTCCTTCCTGCCCATTCAGATGCACTGGTATCGTGCCAGCCACAAGGAAGCTCTCTTGTGTTATGAGGAGGAGACCTGCTGTGACTTCTTCACTAATCAGGCTTATGCCATCGCTTCCTCTATTGTGTCCTTCTACGTGCCTCTGGTGATCATGGTATTTGTGTACTCCCGGGTTTTCCAGGTGGCCAAGAAGCAACTTCAGAAGATTGATAAATCTGAGGGCCGCTTTCATGTCCAGAACAGCAGTCAGATGGAGCAGAATGGAAGGACAAGTCACCGAAGGTCTTCCAAGTTCTGTTTGAAGGAACATAAAGCTCTTAAGACTTTGGGTATCATCATGGGGACTTTTACCCTCTGTTGGCTGCCTTTCTTCATTGTCAACATTGTCCATGCAATACAGGACAACACTGTCCCCAAATATGTGTACATTTTTCTGAACTGGGTGGGCTATGCCAACTCAGCCTTCAACCCGCTGATCTACTGTCGGAGTCCCGACTTCAGGTATGCCTTTCAGGAGCTCCTCTGTTTCAGGAGGTCAGCCCTGAAGCTCTATGGCAATGGCCACTCCAGCAACAGCAATGGGAGGAGTGAGCCCAATGGGGAGCACGGGAGCTATCCCACTGAACAGGAGAAGGAGATGGAGCTGCTGTATGAAGACCTCCCAGGCACTGAAGGCTTTTTGAACTGTGCAGGTACTGTGCCTAACGCTAGCGCCGGCTTAGAGAGCCAGGATCAGACTCTGGATGATACCCCCTTGTGACTGTCTCTCTGGTTGGTAAAAACCCTCAGCAAACCAAGCAAGGTGGGGAAAAAGAAAAAAACAATTTTTTAAAGAACAACAACCAAAAAAATCAATCCAGCAAAAACAATTCATCACAAACCCCCAAACACTAAGCCTACTCTAACTTGTGGTCTAGAAATGTCTAGTCAGCCTATAGAGAGATGGGCAGGAGGGAGGAGGACAGTTTTAGGCTATTTATTGCTTTTAAATTATCAGGAAACAGAACAACTCACCCACCGGTTCTAGGGATTCCTCATTTCTGTAATAGTTGGGTTCTGCCTGGAATGGAGTTTGGAAGTGTATATCCACTTCAAGGGTCTCAGACCTTGAGGACCTGGGTCTCGTTTGGATGGCTTTCTCATAGATCTACCTCATTTGTCAAGTATTAGGGTTAGCATACTTCTACTTGGGACATCTATCTGGAGGAGCAGGCCTTCCCCCAGGGCTTTGTGGATGGATGCTCCAGCTGGACCTGGCTGTCAATGTGGATTCATCTCCTCCTCTTATTTGCTCACACGGGCAGTTGGAGGCAGGGACATAGAGGGGGCAGCTTCTGCTGTTGAATGAGCAAAGTCTAAAGTTTACAGTAAATAAATTGTTTTGCTATGACATTACTGCACCTGTTTGTCCAAATCCCCCAGCGGAACATTCTTGTTGGAAACCACAGGTAACTGTTTGTAATAACTGTCCGGTGACTTAATGGTGAATTAATAGCAATAATAATAAGACTTCACATTTCTGTGGTGTTTGCCAGTTTTACCTAGTGCTATCCCCCACAGCTTTGTGAGGTGTGCAGGGGAAATATCATCTCTATTGTATTGAGGAGCTCAAGGCTCCGGAGGTGAAAGAAAGGACTTGCCTGTGGTCATACCGCTACAAAGTGTGGATAGGGACTTGAACCTAGGGCTTCTGCTCTAGCTCCAGTCTTCCTTTTTTGATAGCGCACTTCCTGGAATTACATTTGCACATAGCTTAAGTCTGTTGGCATTGAGTGTTATAATAAACACATCTCAAGTGATCCTTCTACCTTAAGTCAAGCTCCTCTGATTTGCTTAAGGATGTTGCTCATTAGTGTACCTATTTATATATTATTGACATGTAAATCTATTTAATAAGTATTAAATAATAAAATTATTATTTATTATTAATGGGAAACTGTCAATTTCCCATTAATTATTTATTCCAAAATTATTCATGGGAAGATGGTGGTACAATGGAAAGAGGGAGGAAAAGTCCAGCTGGGTTCAAGTGCCCGCATGACCCTGGTGAAATCACTTAACCACTGTATACCTCTGTAAAAACCTCATCTGCAAAAAGCGGAGGCTGGAATATCTGGCCTCTGGTGTCCCTTCCAGCTCTGGACTTAGTATCCTAAGATCAAGTAAAAAATTCAGTTCAATTCAACAATAATCAAACTCATAGCTCCCATTTACATAGCACTTCAAAATTCCAGAGCTCTTTATGGACGCATTACCTCATTTAATCCCCTCCCATGTTTTCATGTGGATGGTAGCATGTCCCCGTTTACCTAATGAAAAAACCGAGGCCCAGAGAGGGGAAGTCATTTCTTCAAGCCTCACAGCTAGTAAAGCCTTGGAGCTGAGATTCAGACTGAACGCTCCGTACTCTAAATGCAGCCCTCTTCCTGTTGCACCACAAACTGCCTCCTGTTAGATTTTCTGTGTGCTGTTTACATCAGAAAGACTGACTCATGGACATGAGCTGATGGACAGCCATCTCCCTGCCTGCTGTGCATGGCAGCCGCCCAAACGTATACCCTCACTCTGCCTTTCCCTGGGAATCTCTGAACCTACCGAGATTGGATGGTTAGAAAAGAAAGATGATTCAGCTGTGTGGTATGAAAATGCTGCCTCCCCCCAACCCCAAATGACAATCTCTTTCATTCCCACCAGAATTCGGAGGACCAGGAGTTAGCTGGTGGCCAGGTGGGCAGAATGAGTGCAGTTGGAAATCTGGGGAATGATTTCCTACATTTACTTTCCCTTCACCCGCTCCTCAACTAGCTAGCGTTGTGACCTGAAGCAGGTCCCGAGTCACTAAATCTCCTCTCCAGAGAAGAGAGAAGAGTAGTGAGAGGGGAGGGGATGAAGACAAGCTAGTTAGGCGATCTCTGAAGTCCCTTTTAGCCCTACTACAGCATTAGAGACTTGAAGCTGAGAGCTGGACAGGACTCAGATGATCACAAGTCTTATAATTTTTTTAAGGTGGCATCGGGTCATAGAATTTAAAGCAGGGAGGGACCTAGTCCAAACTTCTCATTTTACAGGTGACTTTACAAAGACTCTGAGAGGCTGTGACTTGTCCAGGGTCATATCAAACCCAAGTCTTTGGAATCTAGGGTTCACTCCCCAGCATCTTGCTGCTCAGGATTTGAATTTGTGTCTTCTTACTGATAGAGAATCTGCTGCCCAGAGAAGGAACATGACTTGCCCAGATATTTTACAGTCAGTCAAGAAGCATTTGTTAAACATTTGCAGTGTGTCAGTCACTGTCCTAATGTAGAGGATGCAACCAAAAACAAAACAAAACAAAATAAAAACAAAACAAAACAGCTGATGCCCTTGAGGTCAGAGGCAAAACCAAAACCCAGGTCTGGTGATCTTTCTTGTTGCTGTCCTCCACCCTCCACCAACCTTGGGTGCCTTATTCACTGCCCCATCCTTATTTCATTGCTGCCACAATAGAAGGTGCCCAGGTGGCACTGGAGCTGCAGGAAAGGCACTGGTTCAGACAGGTTTATGAGTAGTGAGAGGGTTGGTGAACAGTCGCTGCTGTTTTATGGAATGACTCTAATGCCTTTAAAAGCCACTTATAGGACAATCGAAAAAGTAAACACATTCTTTTACCCCCTTTCCTCTCCATCCTTTTTCTATTTTTACATCAGGTATCTGGGCGCTAGCTTGGCTTCTCGCGCCATGGCTGGAGAGGGCTTAGTCTGAACAGAGTTCAGTAATCTTTAATTTGTTCCTTAGCTGAATAGCTGCTTCCGGCTTCCAAACAGTGGTTCCCTTCTCTCCATCTGTCAGCACAGCTCTCTTGCAGCCTTAACCTTACCAATGGCAAGGAATTCACTTAGGATCACAGAGTGTTAGAACACAACATCAGAGCTGGAGAGGACCATAAAACACGAAGCACTGAAATATTAGAACTGCACAGGGCCTTAGAGCATAGGATTTTGGAAGGAAGCCATTGCACATAAAATGTGTTTGATTCAGGGGCATGGGCGCTTTTCATCCAGGCAGATTGCAAACCTTCTGTGCTCTCAGGAATGGTTTTTTATGAGTCGCTATGACCAAAAATTTTCATCACCTGGTGTTGTACCTCCTTGCATTTAGCTAGACTAGTCCTCAGAAAAGAGACTCAGCCCATATTGAGGTCCATATTCAGTTGTTCTAACTTGACAAGATTATAAAAACTTGTGTTCCGCCGGCATAGCCTTTGAAAACCCGGAGTCACATCCATGCCATCATATGATACTGTAGGAATTCTTGTGTGCATAT